CTCTTCAAGGTCTGCAGGATGTTCTCAGGGCTCAGAGCCAGAGGATGGAAGAGAACTCACCCTTATTCCTGGTGAGCTTCCAGTTTTGACAAGTTGCTAGCTGGACTTGTACCCAGAGCACAAACAGAAATGCAAACCCTGAAATGCATCACCATGCACCAATGTTTGTTTGTGGGTATGTTCCGAGGGCTTGACATATAGTAGGCACTCAATAAAGTTTGTTGAATGAATACAACGAATGCCAGCTATGTATTAAGTGCTGAGTAATGGAGCCTTCAAAGCTTGGTGGCTTATTGTGCAAAGCTTTGTGGTAGGTCAGGGTGGGGACCAAATGAAGCAGAGCAGAGGATGGACATTCCTGGGGGTGGGGTGGGGAGGGTCATGCTCCTTCCTGGGGCCTGAAGGAGGAAAGAAGTGCATGGGATGTGCCCTTGGCTAAAGTGGGCCAGTCGGTGACAGCAAACATCCTAGACACCTTGGGGGCGTAGTAAAGATGGGGGTGCATTGTCGGATTGGGGAAGGAAGAAGAGGCAGAGGGGACTTCTAAGGAGAATGGAGTGCTTGATCTTAAACTTTCAAGGTCCCTTTAAAAGAGAGGGAGGCATGCTTTGAAAGATTGGGAGGGAGAGATAATGGGGAGACAGAAGTAGAGGAAAAGTAGGGGAGAGCCATGATGGCAGGGTGGAGGAGCGAACAAAGATGAGGTCAGTAGGGAAGAGGTGCAGGCATGGTACAGACTTATCTGAAGAGGTGGAGATCCTCAGTCCAGATTATAGTAGCGAACTGTTACAGGTGAGACATGGCTGGGGTCTGTGCAGGGACTCAGCCTAGTATGGGGGGTAGAGCTCATCAGGTAGACTCATGAGTGGGGGTCCCAGCCTTAACATGCTTTCCACATGACCCTCTGGCTCACTCATTTTGGTTAAGCATATCCGTATAATGAATTCACACCCACCCCTGTGAGCTCTGATTGGTCAACCATATCTCTATCTGATGAGATCTGATGGATGATTGGCTGGTGTCCAGGGCTGTCTTGGCTGAGGATCATGACTCTGATGTGGACCTCTCTTCAACTTCCCAACTCAACCATGTTCTAGAGGCTAGAATCGTCAGGACCTTGGTTAACAGCTCAACAGCTCTGCTACTATGTAAACCACCATACTGCTAACTCCTCAACTTCTACTTTACCAGGTCTATATTGACTTCCTGTGAGTAGAATACAGGAACTGCAGAGTAAGGAAGGGTACAGCATACAGATGTTTTAGAATCCTCTACATAAAAAGCCCACAGGGTCAGGTATGGGTGGCTCATGCCAGTAATCCTAGCAACTCAGGAGGATGAGATCTAAGAATCATGGTTCAAAGTCAGCCTGGGCCAGAAAGACCTTAAGAGTCTTATTGCCAATTAATCACATAAAAGCTGGAAGTAGAGCTGTGGTTTAAGTGGTAGAGAACTGTCTTTGAACAAAAATATCTCAGGACAACACCTAGGCCCTGAGTTCAAGTCCCTAGGTTGGACTCCAGCACTAGGCACTGCATTCTTTAGCACCTGAAGTTACATCCAAAAAGCTGCCCTCTCCATATTACTGGCCTTTCTCATGAATGTGCACCTTTCTTCCTGCCACATGGGGAGTTCCTGAATTCACATCTCCTTTCTTTTCCTTATTCCTCTCCTCTCCTAAATGAAGACAGAGTTCAACACTGGTGCCAATTCCCCCTGAGAAGATGATGATATCTCGTCTCAGCTCTCCTTCATCTTGAAAGACCTCCCTCACACCAACTATAGGAACAAGAGGGACTGAAGAAAACTCAGAACAAGGAATTCCTTCTGTGAAAATGATCTGATCTGGAATTGCTCATTCTTGTCCTCTATCTATTGGCACAGGGTCCGCTTCGGCTGAAAGAGAAGACTGATGTCCAGATCCCAAGTCTTCTGGTTTAACCTATCTCTGCAGACAAGGTGCCCAGTTTAGAAGAGGTGTTTTCCTTGACATAAAGCTTCCCTAAGTGGCAGATCAAGTGTCACCTGTTTTAAGAGAGTGGCTACCTTCCTTCCTTCCAGGAAGTTCCTTGTCAACTCTACCTTCTGCTTGTCCAGCTGCAGTGAAAACCACCTTCTCTTGTTTTCTTTGTAGTTCTGTCATCTGTGGATGGTTAATCAAGGGCATGACCCCTAGCCCTCTAGTATCCTCTGGCTACCACCTAATCAGGAGATTTGGTGGGAATTGGCAAAAAGAAAGATAGATGGTCATGACATTGATTTATGACTGAGGATCACTGGTAAGGCCAAATAATAAATATAGATTTAGGAAGTATTCACCAATTTCTGACTTCCCAGATTACCTAAATGTCTTCTTGATCACTAGTGTGGTTGTCCAAGGGTTGACATTTTCTCCTTTGCCTAAAATGAGAGCTACTCCCTAGGCCTTCTCTGGAGCAGTCAGGATGTATCAGGGAGCAAATTGGACTCTTTACCATGGTGAAAAATCTCAGTCCTTTCTGCCCCTTGGGCTGGTTGACATGGTAGAACAAAAGTAAAGAGCATTTATTGAGCACTTTCTGTGTACCTTTGTCTTTGAAGTACTGGGGTTTGAACTCAGGGCCTCGTGCTTCATATGGAGGTAATTTACTGCTTTTGTTACTTTTTTGTCAACATGGGCACTTAGGGCCTGGGTGCTATCCCAGAGCTTTTTTGTTCAAGGCCAACATTCTACCACTTTGAGCCATAACTCTACTTCCATTTTTCTGCCCTGGATGGCTTTGAATCATGATCCTTAGATCTCAGCCTCCTGAGTAGCTAGGATTACAAATGTGAGCCACCAGTGCCTGGCTTTGGTTATTTTTGAGATAGGGTCTTACTCTCTCCCTGGCCCATCATCCTCTTACTTGTTTTTTTTTTTTTTTTTACCACAGTTGGGCTGACGGTTATGCCATCATGCACAGCATTTTTTGGCCCAGATGGATTAGGCCCATGATCCTCCCATTTTTAGTTTCCCATGTCGTTGGTATGACAGGAGTGAGACATTACACTCAGGTGTTGGTTGAGATGGGTTCTCATGAACTTTGCCCAGGTTGGCCTAAAAAAATGAACCTTCCTGACCTCTGCATCTTGAATAGTTTGGATAATAGATGTGAGCCATGGGTTTCAGACTTCCAGTCTCTTTCATTAACATACAATTCTGGTTAATCCCATTGTGGATTACAACATGAACTCTGAGAAAACACTGTCGCAAAGAAAAGTGCCCCTTAAAGATTATACTGAATCCCACAGTAAAGACAATGCACATCCATGTTCACTGCTTCACGATTTACCACTGCTGAGTATGAATAGAAATAGCCTAGATGCTCTACAATGGATCAAGAAGGTGTGATATATTTATATAACTAAATAATATCTCTATCTATCTATCTATCTATCTATAATGTTATGTGAAGTAAGTCAGGCTCAGAGAGACAGTGTGTGTTTTCTTCTCATATGTAGAAGTTAGATCTAAATTACAAACATACTGAAAATATATACAGAGTTATATGCATAAGTACAGAAAGGATGTTATACTGTAATGGTGTAACTTCTCTGAACAACTAATGAAGAGTTTAACAAATGAAACCAGGAAGCTGAAACATTTTTTGAGGGGGGGTATGGGGAAGGGGGCAGATGAATGGGGAGAGGAAGGGCAAGCAAATACAATAATTACATTCAATGTACATTATATAAAAATAGAACAAAGCTTGAGGGTATGATGGAATTGGGAAAGATGAGGGAGAATTCTGGCAGGGATGACTCTGCTCAAGATGCATTATATTCATAATCTGACTTGTTGAAGTGAAACTTCTTTGTGCAACTATTTAAAATAAGTATTAATAGTAATAAAGATTATACTGAAGTCCATCTGCCATGTTCTCTGGCTTTACCAAGCAGGTCCACATCTCTGAAAGTCTCCAAGCAGCAGCAGAAGGCAAAGCTTAACATATTTATTCCAGCTCACACAGAACTGCTCCCTAACCATCTCTGTAGTTCTGGGTATACCCTGCATGGACAGCACAGGCTAACATGGAACTATTCTGACACCTGTCAATGCTATGGACAGATTGTGTGCAAGGGTGGGTCTACAGGGGTCTTAGCATGGATTTAAGGGTGATAGCCAGCAGAGGCAGAGTCTGGAAGTTTCTCTCATATGGCGCTGTAGATTTCATAATCTGAGACAAATATTCCATAGCCTCAAAAGAGTGACACCCACTCCAACCCAGAGAAGAAACCCAGAGATTTTAGGTGAAATGCTGTCATTTGAGCCTTGGTTAAGGCCCCACTGGAAATGGCTGGGCTTTCTTGGGAACCAGAGAGGCAATGTGTGTCCCCAAAGCATTGAGGAAGACTCTGCAAACAGGCATCTCTCTTCTTGGCATAAGGTGGCCAAGATGGCTTAAAGACTAGGTAGGAAAAATAGAAGATGCTAAAAGGTACAAGTATGAGTTAGGGAGTTGGTAGAAGGGAGTTCATTAGAAAAGTATGTAGGTTACTGAGTTAGAGATTGGATAAATGTGTTTCTGTTGGGGTTCAGAGAGAGAAAGACCATCTAGGTCAGGGAGACTATTAAGCAAGTGCAACCTGAATTCTATATCACCTAATCTCATCCTGGCCCAATATCCCTTAGGCAAAAGAAATCAGCACCAGGGACAGCAGCACCACCTACCAGAGCCCAGCCTGGCCCCTTTCCCCCTCCATTCCAATTTGCATGACCTTCCACCTCCTTCCCAGCCTCTGTTTCTGAGTACTGGACTATTGAGGTGACCAAGGTGGAGGTGAGCTGGCCCTTTGAAGAAGAAAATTGTGTCGTTTAGGGCCAAGGACCATAAACATCGGCTGCCTCTGGGCACCAATTAAGCACATTTAAGGAAGAGCCAAGCCCATAAAGACATCTCATTCCTTCTGACCACGTGACCACAATCAGGCGGGCAGGTATATAAAAGGCGAGCAGAGGTCGAAGAAGTAAGCATCTGAACCCACATCCCCTGCATCCTCCATTTGCTCATCACCAAACTCCGAGCCTCCTGTCCTACCCCAAAGCACCATGACTTGTGGATCTTACTGCGGTGGCCGCGCCTTCAGCTGCGCCTCGGCCTGCGGACCTCGGCCAGGCCGCTGCTGCATCACCGCCGCCCCCTACCGCGGCATCTCCTGCTACCGCGGCCTCTCCAGCAGCCACAGCGTCTGCGGGGGCTTCCGCTCTGGCTCCTATGGGCGCAGCTTCGGCTACCGCTCAGGGGGCGTCTGCGGGCCCAGCCCCCCATGCATCACCACCGTGTCTGTCAACGAGAGCCTCCTGACGCCCCTCAACCTGGAGATCGACCCCAATGCGCAGTGCGTGAAGCATGAGGAGAAGGAGCAGATCAAGGGTCTCAACAGCAGGTTTGCTGCCTTCATCGACAAGGTGGGTGTCCTGGATGGTGCCTTACCTGAGTCCCCACCGGTCTGCAGATCTGAGTCTGGATTGTGAGAGAGCACCAGAGGCAAAAAGACCTCTTCTTGATTAAGAGTCTAGATTCATGCAAGAGCTAAAAGCCCTCTTACACACTCAGACCCTAAAATTCAGACGCTAATGACTGTTCAGAGACAAAACTATGAGAGACAGGAATGACCAGAATACTTTGGAGACAAGGGTCCTAAGCTAGGCTGAGAAAGTCCCAGGAGGTCTCTAGCAGAAGCCTGAGCTCCCTCTGAGGGGAAGGGCACCTGCCTGCCAGAGGCAATGGGGAAAGGCCAGGCTAGCTGAACTTGCCCTGCATGTCACAGGGAACCCAGTCCTGATCCCATCCGCAGAACCAGTGCTGGGCTGGGGATCTGGGTGTCCTGTCTGTGAGGACTCCTGACTCTCCTGTCTTCAGGGCAGGGAGCCTAGCCCTACAGCAGCCCCTGACACTTGACACCTGAGGATTCAGCTCACCTGGGACTAGGCTCTGCCCTCTGCTAGTCCTGTTCAGGTGGGAAAGCAGGCATGAGAGAGGAACAGGAAGTAGAGACTTTGTCCTGTGCTCAGCTCTGCCCACTGTCTTCTGGGCTCAAGGTGGGGTCCTCCAGCAATCCCTCACCTCCTGCTCCCCCATCCTGAATGGCAGGTGCGCTTCCTGGAGCAGCAGAACAAGCTGCTGGAGACCAAGTGGCAGTTCTACCAGAACCGCAAGTGCTGCGAGAGCAACCTGGAGCCTCTGTTCGAGGGCTACATCGAGACGCTGAGGAGGGAGGCTGAATTTGTGGAGGCCGACAGTGGGAGGCTGGCTGCAGAGCTCAACAATGTGCAGGAAGTGATGGAGGGCTACAAGAAGAAGTGAGTGTGGTTTACCCAGCTGATGGCTTAGCTTCAAACCTGGCACTGACAGGGAGAGGGAGGAGGGAGGCAGTGTGCAGCCCAGCCAGGCCCAGGGAGTTCCAGGAACCACTATTCTGTGGAGGTCAAATCCCAACCACTGCTGCATCAGGCTGAGGGTCTCAGAAGATTCTGGTCCCACTCAGCCTTGCCACCCTGGACTGAGACCCTGCTCTCTGGAAAAGCAAACCACATAGCTCCCTCATTCCCTTGCTGAGTCTCAGGCTCCTATACCCACAGCCCCTGATCACATCCAGCCCACGGGCTGAGAAACAACAGGTCTCAGGCTCTGGGGACACAGCATTTTGGGTGCTGAGTCCTGAGGCCTCTGGGTCCCCCACCCTAGACCTGGGACCAGAATCTAGGTGAAGGGAGGCTGGCACTGCAGGGCCCAGAGGCTGCAATGGCTACTACTAGCAGACGAGATCAGGAGTCCTTCTCTGTACTCTGAGCTGACCTCACAGCAGCCTTGGCAAAGAGCCTGGGGCATTCCAAATGAGCCTCTCCAACCCCCCCTCCCCCCCCATGCAGACAGAGTGCACAGGGAGGCCCTGCTCAAGCCCCAGTCAGGCCAGGAAGTGAGGTTGGGGGAGACTGGCCTTCTCTGATATCCCTTCCCTCCCATCTCAGGTATGAAGAGGAAGTTTCCCTGAGGGCCACAGCTGAGAATGAGTTTGTGGCTCTGAAGAAGGCAAGTACTGCAGGGAATGGGAAGAGCTTCCTGGGACCCTGGTGGGCGGGGAGGGGCAGGCAGATCTTCCTGGAGTCTCAAGTGCTCAGCCTCAGGGTGGGGAGCAGGCAGCTTGCACATCAGGATGGCACTCCATGTTGTAGCCAGTGCTCTGGGATGTCTAGTGATGCCCTACTGGGGCAGTACATGTCTACCTTGACCCCTGGCTGTCATATTCTGCCTCAGAGGTTGTGGTTTGGCCTGGAATCTCATAGAACTGGGGGCTTCTGTGTCTTGAGGGTCAGTGTGTTCTACCCAGTACTGTTTGTAACTGACATCAATCGGGGCCAGATGCCACTGTTTAGGAGGACATGGGCAGATCTAGGCATGCCAGGTGAACTTGAGGCCTTGACTTGGGCTGCTGAGAGGCAGGTCAGGGTCAGGTGGTCTTCTGGGAGTTATGGGCAGGCTCCCTTGACAAGAGAGTATAGACAAGAAGACAGAGGGGACTATTTCATGGAGTGGACTGAACGGCAGGTAGTATCTGTGAGTGTATGAAGAATTTGTCCTTATGGGCTGGAGTCTGCCTGGGCACAGCAGGAAGGTAATTGGAGAGATGATCTATGTAAGTCCTTTGCCTGTGATGGAGCCTCAGGAGCTTGGGGTTCCTTCTGCCCTGGGCTGCAATGGAAGGGTGAGAAGAGAGACAATTTTGAGGGGTCATCAGCAAGGCCCCTTGAGACTCACACTTTGCCCTCCCTTCCCAGGACGTGGACTGTGCCTACCTGCGCAAGTCTGATCTGGAGGCCAACTCAGAGGCACTGACCCAGGAGATTGACTTCTTGAGGAGACTCTATGAAGAGGTGAGGGGTGGGGGCTGGACTGAGGCCTAGGGCAACCAGCACAGAAGGCAATGGTTTGGATGGAAGTGGAGTGTGGGAAAGGGATTGCCAGTGGATTCTGATCATGGGGTTGCATGAAGTGGCAATGATCAGGGCCAGAGTGACTGTCCAGTTGCATTGAAGTCTGTTTGGTAGGGATGCATTCTCCAAAAGCTCTGTTGTCCTTTACCCCCGTCCTCCTGCAGGAGATCCGTGTCCTCCATGCCCACATCTCAGACACCTCAGTCATTGTCAAGATGGACAACAGCAGGGACCTCAACATGGACTGCATTGTGGCTGAGATCAAGGCTCAGTATGATGACATCGCCACCCGCAGCAGGGCTGAGGCTGAGTCCTGGTACCGCAGCAAGGTAACTGTTCCAGGAAGCTGCCCTCTAGACAGTGAGAAGGAGCAGGTGCCTCCTAGAAAAGATGGGGTGGGAAGGGAGGGGCCAACAGCTCTCAGGCAGGGTTCAGGTCAGTGCTGCCATGTGTGGCTGGTTGGGCAGGTTGAGTACTGTCCAACGTGAGCCCATGGGCACCCCTGTTTCTCTCCAGTGTGAGGAGATCAAGGCCACAGTGATCCGACATGGGGAGACCGTGCGCCGCACCAAGGAGGAGATCAATGAGCTGAACCGCGTGATCCAGAGGCTGACGGCTGAGATTGAAAATGCCAAGAGCCAGGTATGGGGCAGCTGTGCCCAAGAGCAGAGGAGGTGGGGGCCTGGCCTGTGCCACACAGCCAACTTGAGCCTTCATTAAATAATACTATTTGGTCTCCAAGGAGACTTTCACATGATTAGAGTCTCTACTTGTGGTCACTTTGGGTGACCCAGGTGAACAAGGGAAGAGCCCTTGTTTCTGGAATGTTCCTTGCTGCTGTTAGAGGACTGGGTCCTTCCAGGTAAAGGTACAGTAATCCAGCACTCACAACTGATCTCATTCTCTCCTGGGCCCCTAGAACACCAAGCTGGAGACAGCTGTGACCCAGTCTCAACAACAGGGTGAGGCAGCCCTGGCTGATGCCCGCTGCAAGCTGGCGGGGCTGGAGGAGGCCCTGCAGAAGGCCAAGCAGGACATGGCCTGCCTGCTGAAGGAGTACCAGGAGGTGATGAACTCCAAGCTGGGCCTGGACATCGAGATCGCCACCTACAGGCGCCTGCTGGAGGGTGAAGAGCAGAGGTGAGTCATGTAACTTTTAATCCCCTAGCCGGGCTGGGGTCTCAGCAAGTCATGTCTCTCACATTCTGAGTCCCACTCAACCTTCGCTTCCACATCTCACCGTTGGGCACCTGGACAGAAAACTTGTGTAAGTCTTTTGCCTATGATCTAGCCTCATCTGATTTCTGCTTCTCCACCCATGCTTGAGATGTGATGGTGCCTTTGGAAAAATCTGGCTTCAGAGCCCAATGTAGGAAAGCAGTTATTTCTATTCTGAGGGTACATTGCTCAGGCCTGGGATCCTCTCCTTGGCATGGTGCTTCTTCTCCCCAAACTTGGTTGCATGTATCCTTCAGAATTCTTCTCCCTCAGTATCTGTTGTCCAGTTGGTTACCTGGTCATGCATCCTGTGCATTTAGGAAGATCAGGAGCGCAGGTTTGGTACCAGGAAGTCTAGGTGATCCTATAATGATTACCCCTTCTTTCCATAAAGTCAAATAATTGTGCTAAAAAGCCTGGAGGTGCAGGGTGATTGCATAGCTTGGGCAGCTTCATCAGGACGAATTCTGGGTGGAGTTTTACAATTTGGGATTTGGAAATTGGAAAGACACTTGGGCACTACACTGGAAATGGAGAGCCCCACCCCTCTGTCAGAAGCTTTGGTATGGTTGGTTAGGAGACCTGGGCGGGGCATGATCTGAAGGGTAAGTTTAGTAGGCTTCTGCTTGATGCTTTTCGGGGAGACAGTATGTGGGAAGAAAATGCCGACTTCAGTGTCAGCCCTATGTTGGGAAGCAGGTGATGGCAGATGTGGAGTTCCAGTTCTACCACTGTCATTGGCCACTTCTCTGGATCTCAGTTTTTCCACCGGTGGGATGAGAGATCATTTGTGGATAGTCTCTAAACCAGTGCTAAATGGGTTAAAAAATCCCATTCCTATCCAGGTGCCGGGGCTCACTCCTATAATCCTAGCTATTCAAAAGGCTGAGATCTGAGGATTGTGATTCAAAGCCAGCCAGAACAGGAAAGTTGGTGAAACTTATATTTTCAGTTAACCACCCAAAAGCCAGAAATGGAGATGTGGCTTTGGTAGAATGTCAGCCTTGAGCAAAAAAGCTAAGGGGAAGCACCTAGGCCCTTAGTTCAAGCCCCAGAACTGCCACAAACTAACTAACTCTCTCTCTCTCTCTCTCTCTCTCTCTCTCTCTCTCTCTCTCTCTCTCTCTCTCTCACACACACACACACACACACACACACACATTCCCTCTCAAATTCATTCCTCAGCTAAGAGTAATTTTTGAGTTAGTCATTTATTTATTTATTTTTATTTTGACTTTGTATGGGCAGTGGGGCTTGAACTCAGGGCCTTGCCTTCTCCCTTGGCTTTTTTGTTAAAGGCTGGCCCTTTGCCATGTGAGCCACAGCTCTACTTCTGGTATTTTGCTGGTTCATTAAAGAATCTTACAGGTTTATCTTCCTGGGCTGGTTTTTTGTTTTGTTTTGCTTTTTAAAAAACAAGATCTTCAGATCTCAGCTTCCTGAGTAAATTAGAATTACAGGTATGAGCCACCAGCTTGTAGCCCAGGCATTAGTTTTTAGGGAGTGGAGGAAAAAAAAAAGAATAAGTAGAAAGTTCTGTCCTCCCATAGGCATACAGGCTAATGGCAGTAATCAGACTGGATTGAGGAGGTAACAGTAAGCTCCCCTACCATGCATTTACAACTCAATCAGGACTGACACAGAACCAGAGCAGCTAATGGCTCTTAAATACATGCTTGCTATAATGCCAGGTGTTAAGCCCTGTATGATCTTCCTGGAGAGGTGACAGGATAGGGAAGCTATAAAAATCAGGTTGCACAACTAACAAGTAATGGGGAGCAGGACCCTGCCTGCACTGCCTCCAGGCCCCACAAAATGACCTAGAGCTGTGGTGTTCCTTGCGTGAACCATTTCTTGCCCCATCCCATTGGCAGTAGCCTTAGAAAGAGGGCTCCATCTTACCAGTCACCTGGGGCACTAGTTCTCAAGATTCCTAGCCCACTGATATCTGTCTTTTCTTTCCCGCAGGCTGTGTGAGGGCATTGGCTCCGTGAATGTGTGTAAGTAGTCCCAGCCCCTCTCCTTTTTCCAGTAGGCTGGCCTAGAGCCTTTGGGGAGCGGGGGGGGGGGGGGCCACGTGCACTTGCTTTTGCAGAGCTGCCTGGCCTCAGAGGGGGTGCCTGATTTGGCTTTCCCTTTTCTCCAGGCGTCAGCAGCTCCCGAGGTGGCGTCGTGTGTGGCGATCTCTGTGTCTCCGGTACTTCCCCTGCTGTCAACACCAGAGTCTGCAGTGCCCCCTGCAGTGGCAATGTGGTGGTCGGCACCCCCAATGCCTGTGCCCCCTGTGCAGGAACCGGCAGCCTCTGCAGCAGCGGCTGTAAGAAGTGCTAGGGAGCCACCATCACCAGCCACCACCATGGACTCTGCCCAACCAGGACCTTGCAACCGGAATGCACATCTGCTGTGTCCACCACACAGGCCCTCAGCTCTATCTGGCCTCAAGCCCCTGAGACACAGCAGCGCTTTGGTGTCTGTCCGTAGCCTTTCCTAGTACTCATCCTTTTCTTTTAACTTCTATTTGTTTTGATGGATTCGTAGGTCCTGCGGTAGCTTGGAGGGACAGGGCCAACTTTAGAACCCCTGTGTCTGTCCCTCTCTAGAGTCTACCCATGGGCTTCTTCCTGGGCTTGGAGACCCAGCCAGACATTGTAACTCTGGGAGGGACACAGCCAAGAGCACCTTCCTTGCAGGGCTACCCGGGAGAAGCTTCTGAAGAACCAATGATTCAACTTGCCTATGTGTTTGTCTTTGTCTCACTCTGCTGCTGTTTCCAATAAAGTAATTGTAGCCAATCAGAACTATGGCTTCAGCATCTTGAAAATGCCTCCTGTGATGGATGTCCTTGCAAACATTTCTCAGAACCCGGGGGCTCTCACTAGATGAAAACATGTTGCTGGCCTTGAGCAGCCCAGCTTTTGAGGAATTAAAGGCTGACTCCTGAGGATGGGGACTCCTATGTGCCAAAGGGTTTCTCTAAGTAGGGAGCTTGGCCTCAGCTCTGTTGGCATTGTAGGCTGGTTAATTCTGTGGGTTAGCATTGTAACCCAAGAGAATCCTGGTGCTAAAATATATAATCAACCATTTGATGAGTCCAAATCAGGGGGGAAAAAGTTATATTTAATCTCCAGTTTCCAAGCCAATACATCTAATATGTTACCAGAAAATTTAGATCAGCAAAACAACTTTGGTCCTTGCATCTGTCAAGAGGAGAGCTCAGGAAAGATGTGACTATAGTAAAGCTCATGAGAAAAAATTATTAAATGAGAAAGATGATGGAGGAAGAGAGCATAGGCATGTCACCAGGACCACGTGAGTTTAGCCAATTCTGCCATCTTGGTGGTCTTCTACTGGCGCACTGACTGCAGAGCTTGACTTTGGGTTACATAGTGAGAATTGGATGGCTTTTGGTGGGTGAGTCTCCCTTTCATTTCCTGTAAGCTATGACACCCCATCCTGTCGTTATTTTGTCATTCTTTTGTCTTTCTTGCTTCCTTACCCTTCTGTGTGCCCTTGCCCCCATTTTGTTATCAGACGCCTTTTAGTTTATCAGCTTATCTTGCCATCTGCAAGCTGAATAGGTTGCCATTCTCTGTCAGCTTTTCTACCAAAAACCCATCTCAGAATCGCTGGCATCTAGCTATCAGATGACAACACAGATCTTTCTGGACATGCCCAAATGTCTCCTCAGAATTCTCAGTAATGGTGACTTTGTCTCTTTCCCTCCAAGGGCATTGCTGAAGAGTGCGAAGGAGAAATAAGCAGGTCACTTGCCCCTGCTGAGCTTTACCTTCTTCATGTGTAAAATGGGGTGAGAATCCCGGGGGCAGTTGTAGGAAGATTGTCAAATGTCCACTGCTTGTGATACCTTACTCCTAGGGAGAGGCTGGGAGCAGTGTTTTTATTATTCTTCACAACTCAACTAGTTCTCCTTCCTGTGGTATTTTTGGGAATCCTGGGGTGCCTGGAAGGTCTAAAATGGCCTCCCTCACAGAGATAGATTTGGTGTCTGCTAGCTGGGGAGCTCAGTTGTGGCTGTTGGCCAGGATGCATCATTCAAGTTCTGATCAGAGAACAATCATCAAACTATAACCAAAAATCAAAGAGATCAACTAAAGAATACAGGAGCTGGGATAAGGGATACAAATAGTTGAGTGGTAGGACACTGGCCTAGCATGTGTGAGACCAGAGGTTTGATTTCTAGCACTGAAAAACAAAAATAACAACAAAAAAGGAAAGAAACAAAAAGGAAGAAAAAAGAATTCATACGTGAGGCTTGGGTATGAGGGATGACCCTGCCTTTGGCTTTTTCTCTAAAATCTAATGGCCATTTCCTCACTGCCTATCCAGACTTTGCCAGTTTTTCTCTGAGGACATTCAGGCTCAGCTTAATGCTCCAGCCAACATCATAGTTTTCAGATTTTGTTCAAGCAGCAGCCCATGACTAGGTACCAACTTCTGTTCCACTGAGCTATTGTGACATAACAAAATATTCCCAAACTTAGTGGTTCTGAAAAATATGTTTTATAATTGTGTGGGGTGATGGATTTTGTGTGTGTGTATGTGTGTGTGTGTGTGTCTGTCTGTGTGTCTGTGTGTGTCTGTGTGTGTGTGTGTGTCTGTGTGCATGCACGCATTCTAGGCTTGAGCTCAGACCTTTTGAATCTCACTTGGCTTTTTTGCTTACGGCTGATACTCTACCATTTGATCCACACCTCTATCTCTGGCTTTTTGATGATTCATTGGAGATAAGAATCTCTTGGATTTATCTGTCCAGACTAGCTTTGAGCCTGGATCTATAGATCTCAGCCTCCTGAATTGCTAGGATTACAGGTGTGAGCCTCTAGCACAAGGATTATGGGTAATTCTTTTGCTTCCTGTTATTGACTGAGGTTCTGAATGGCTGGAAAGTCTGAGATGGTTTTACTTAGATGATTAGATTTAGTTCTAGCTATGGGTCTAGGGCTTAGCTGGATGATGGCCAGGAACCTCTGCTCTCTTTGTGCTGAGAATCTTCCTAAGGCTTGGACATAGAAAATCCACAGGACCCCTCTATGACCTGCTATTTGGTTGGTGATTGCAGAAATGAGCCAGCCCAGATTCAAAAGGAGGGACCTGGGTCTTGACTGTGAGGAGCCACATTCATGGGGAATGGTGAAATTGTTGGGGGGCACTGGAGGATCCAATGAGACAGTACAAATCACATGTAGATGATTGTGCGGCTCATAATCATACTGGGTCAGGCACCCATGGCTCATACCTGTAATCCTAGCTACTCAGGGGACTGTGAGTTGAGGACCAAGGTTCCAAGCCAGACTGGATAGTAAAGTCTGTAAGACTCTTGTCTACAATTAACCACCCAAAATCCAGAAGTGAAGCTAGGGCTCAAGTAGTAGAGTTACCAGTCTTGAGTAGCAAAAGCTCAGGGGTAGTGCCTAGGCCCTGAGTTCAAGCCCCAGTACAGGGACATGGACACACACACACACAAAACACATACACAGAGCATATTGGGAGCATATGTTCTTGTTACTGGTACCACTGATGGCCTAACAGTGCAGAATTCCTAGCTTCCAAAGAGTACACACAGAATAGGATGTTGGGAAAAGACCCGGGGTTGGAAGCCTGGAGGTTTAGGTTCTTGTCGGGCTTTGTCATCCAGAATGAGTGGTCTAAGTCTTTCACTGGAATACCAGCGAAATGACTCAGGTGATGAATGGAGCAACCCACCAGCCCACTGGATGTGCAGGGGCTTCAGTCTATGTGTAGAGCAGGACAGGTGCAGCACAAGGGTCCATTATTCCAATATTGTCACTCAGTGACTGATCTCAGGCTTGGCAGCACAGAGGGGCTGAATAGCCAGCTGGCTCATATCTCTCAACAGCAGAAATCAGAAGGTCCTGCTAATTACCCCAGCCACCTACTGCTGCAAGAGGGAAAGTCCTGGAAGTAGCAACAACAAGATGCTTTTATGGGGTAGAGTTGGAGTTGGGGCTGGAGCAGATCAAAGAGTGAGTCTTTTTGAAGCTTCTAGAAGTGCTGGTGAGCAGTCCCCAGCCCTCCTGCTAACCTCACTAGATTGCTTAGAAGAGTTAGGCTCTCTCTCCAGCCCAGCCTCTGCATAGGCGACTCCTCCTGCATCTGTAATGCATGTCTGCCTTCCAGCTAACTTTTTTTTATTGTGAAAATACCGTACAGAAGGGTTACAATTACATGGGCAAGGTAATGAGTACATTTCTTATCAAGTATTGTTGCCTCCTCCTTTGTTTCCCCTTCCCATTCCTTCCTCCTCTCCCCCCTCCACCTCCACCAAGGTTGTAAAGTTTGTTTTTCGACATAACGACTTGTACATATCATTGTTGCAATGGGTCCACCTGTATCTATATTTAAAAATTTGTTTTTCCCGTCCCCTCCACAAATTATACCAACATCAAATACAGTGAAAACAGGGGTTATACCATGGGGGAGGGACATACAAAGCAACAAAGAAATCATCTTATAAATATGTTAGAAACAATTGCAAGAAAGAAAAAACATTTGAGTCCTTATTCTTTTTAAAAAGATTTTTTTTATTGTTATTATAAAGGTAGTGCACAGAGGGGTTACAGTTACATGAGTCAAGTAATGAGTACATTTCTTTTTGGACAATGTTTCCTCTTCCCTCACGCTCTCCCAGTTTTTCCTTCCTGTCCTTACATCCAACTTACATAGTTCATTTTCAACATAGTGTCTAGTGAGTACCACTGCTGCATTTGGTCACACTTGTTCCTCCATTTCTGTGCCCCTCTTTGCCCTCCGAAAGACAGATAAAGAAACAAGACACAAAGAAAAGAAAACAAAAACAGCAACAAAGAAAAAAAAAACTCTTGTTTCCATTTCCTGGCATTCATTCCGGTATTATTGCACACGATCAGAGGCATATAGGCATTGCACCTTTGTATTCCTTTCCTAAGAGTATCCTCCTTCAGTCTCACTGTGTGTGAATGCCTAGGCCTAGCTGTATAATGTAAGCTTCAGGGACAAGCACCTTTGACCATTTTCTTCTCTTGCATAAACGAAAGCTTAAGTACTAGTACCAGGTACACAGAAGGTGCTCTATCATTGTTCGTGGGTTCAGTGCATGGACTCTTGGTCCTCCCTAAGGTCTCAACTTTAGTCTTTGCTTCCTCTGGTTGGTAATCTTCCAGCTGTGCTCTTTTATTCCCAGCCCCAAGATCCAGGGCTGCTAGTGGCATGGAGGAGGCTGGTCCAGGGACCTAGAGGCTCTCACGGATAGTGTTTGCAACAATGTCAGTCTTGCCTGGTCCCTTGGATTGGAAGGGTGGAAGGAAGAAGTGTCACCTTGAACCGGCACTTCCATGGTTCCTGCCACCTTCCACATA